AATTAATGTCAAAACAAAACCGTTAGACAAATGCAATAAGATTGTTGTCAATTTAAATTTTAATAACATTTTATTCATTATTCAATGTAAAACTAAAAGCACTTTTAAATAATAATTAATAACATTTGTCATCAAATAATTGTTATATTTATTAATCATATTTTTAATATTTATAATTAGCGAGTTTTAATAGTAAATCAAATGCAGAAAGTTTTTATTCTTTAAACATAAGTTTTAATGAATTAAAACATATTTAAAGTAATTTATGACATAAATTAGTAATTATTTTTAATAATAAGTAATTAATTGATTAATGGTTTTAAGAGTTAATGACTAGAAAAGAAGAGATGAAGGGTTTATATATAACTAACACTGAATTATTGTTGTAATTTCTTAAAGTGTTTCAAGTGTTGGCACATAATTGTAATGCAAAACCATTTTATAACAACAATAAAAACAAAATTCGTTAATCAGTCGATAGTTTAGTAATGTTTTTGCATTGGTTTTGCTGTTTCTTTGCTTTCAATATTTAAGTTAATAACTAGTGTTTGATTTATTGAGTTTAATAATTAGCAACAAATTCTTTCTTATATTTTAGTATTTAATTTGAAATCAACAAAATTATTGTCATAAATTAAATCACTGACTAAATCAATGGCACTGACAGTAATATTAGATGTATTAATACGGGTATTATATCTCAATAACCAGTAAATAACAGTAACTTATTATAAAGACTATATTATAGACTATCACTTACTTTCTCTAATGTTATTCAGTGAACAAATAACAGTTATGTAATTATTTTCATTAATTATAACTAAGTTTAGTTATAATTATTTGTTTTATAATCAGTTATTAGATTTAAATCTTTTCTAATCTCTTTTAAATAGTAATAATAATAATTATTATAACAAAAAACATATTTCACATAAAGTATCTAAAAGTTTTTCAACAATTAATTCAATTCAAAGCATTTGTTTAAAATACAAATACAGTACGAATTGTTTATATCTCACATTTTAATAAACATATTAAAATTTCATTTTAAAATTCTTGTGCAGAGATTAATATATAGTTTTTTGTTTTCATAAAACAGAAAAAATTGAGATTTAGTTTTGCTTTCTTTACCATTCAATTGGTGTAACAAATAAACAATAATTCAGTTGTCATTCTTTGTGAATATATATAACACGGCGAAAGTCATCCCACAAAACATAAAGTGAAATCATGTAAAAAGTTATTTTCATTTATAATTATTAGTTATTTTTGTGTAAAACAATGCTTTTTCGGTGAAATTTATGTCACAATTTGTACATAAATATGAATTTCTTCGCACAAAACAGTTTATGACAATCTGAGAGTATTTTGTGTTTTTATAATAAATTCTTTAAAGTGTTTATTAAACAAGAATTTCAATGTTTTTACCACAAAATTGATGATAACTTCAAATATGGTATTAGACGAGAGAAGTGAGTGAGTGATAGATAGAGAGACTTAAATAAGCGTTGATTGCTTTTGGAGGCACAGGATTTCAATCAATCATATGTTTCATTAAATCAATATATCTCTGGAGCAACACATCCGTGGGTTTGTATTAATAGATCACAAGTGATGGCAATGTAATGGACACAACAATTTTGGTACAACTTATTCAAACAAGTTTAACACAAAACAACAAAATAGAGAAAACACTAGAAAAGTATTTCATAAAAATAAATTTAAAGTATAAAATTAAAATAGATTTAACACTGGATTAAGAAATAATAGTAACTAAATAAATAGTAATAATTATAATTCAATAATAAAATTTAATAATTGAGTTATAATTACTATTAAGTATTGGTATTCGTATTGGAAATGGTTTGACGGGTAGAAAGTGTTTAGTAAAAAGTAAACATAAAATATAAAAATGCAAAGACATGTGAAGTAGAAGAAGAGGTAGTGATTGAGTGAATGGTGAGAATTGGAACCGTTTGGGAGGAGTGATGGTGAAGATGGCGGTCATCGTCACCGCTCACTCTCTCAAGAGTTGAGTGACTCGAGTATGTCATCAGATGGCGAACACTTGGAGTTCGAAGAACTCGAACCGATAAGGCGTGAAGAAGCGGATGATATATCGGATGAAATGCTTTCCTGTTTGTTGAACGACGAACTCTTCCATAAAGTTAAGGCAAAGTCCGCCCGTCTGTGGCAAAGACAATGACACGGACTGACCAGCGGCTGGTCCTCCATATATTCGTGGTCCGCGGCGTTCACCGAATTGTTGTTATTCTTATTAAGACTCTCGTCGGCCAGCGATGTGTCGGTGGAAGCGCTGACCAATTGTTCGCCGACAGCACTGTTTGTACTAATGTTTGTATTGCACTCGCATTTACACGAAAACTTATCGCCAAAGCTGTCGATAGGGCCGCCGTTTGTCGACATAATTGAGTCAAAGTTCACAAAATTGTCACCAAAACCGGGCCACTTGCTGTCCGAGAAGCCGAAGCCCTCCAATGGAGTAACGGGTGTCAAATTGCCCGGCGATGGTGTCATTAGGGCCTGATTGGTGGCCGCGACGGCGAACGGGTCGAACGCATTGGCGTTAATGAAAGGGTGCGGCTGTACGTCAACACTCGGGAAACAACTGTTGGCCCGTTGTTTGCGCCGCTGTTGAGGACTCTGAAGGCCTTTCTCGCAGAACTCGAACCAAATCGAAGGATTCGACTTTCGGGGGCTCTTCGCTCGGGCGGAAGCACTGAACTGTTCGCCCGGAAGTGAGAGCTTTATCTTCTCGACGTTAGGATCGGGTGATATGGACGACGACCTAATGTAAGCCTCTAACGGCACGATATTGATCGGTGTTGTACTCCTTGGCCTCTCTATGGGAATGGTTAGCACTTCCAACCTTTCCTTATAAGTGGGCGAACGAATGGTCTCCGATTGGGTAGAGTTTGTCATGAGAGCCATATTCGCGGCAAACGAATCGGTGAATGAGTTCTCGTCGTAATCGATAGAGTCCTGAGTTAACAAATTCTGGGCCTCAAAGTCGTCATCACTGCTAGTCTTGCCATCGGTTGCGCTGCCCTTCGCCTTCACTTTGAGTCTATTGTTTTCGTCAAATCCTATCTCCGATTCGGAAGAGTTGTCTTCATATTTGGCAGAGGACTCGATCTGAACGACAACTGTCTCCTCATTCCTATCATTGGCTGTTGCGGTACTTTCTTCGGTGAGTAGACGTGAGGACCGACTGCTCGGCAATATTTCTGGCAAACTCTGGACGTCGTCGTCGATCGTCGACTCGCGACGCCTCAGCTTTTTGCGCAGATTCAGCGGCGGTAACGGCACGGGAATAGAGCACCGGCTGCTGTCGTCGTCCACTGGGGTTGTGATCATACTCTCCATCTGCGAGTTCGCCGCCTCTAAGATGCCGATAATGTCCTGTTCGGAAGGCTTGGGCTCATTGATGGGCGAACCAATCATGAGCTCTTCGTGCGGTTCGTTTTCGCTCGTGTCGGTCACTGAAACGCGCGGTGTGTCCAACGACTCCACAGCCGACGCTTCGCGGCTCTGTTTCTCTGGCGATTCTGAGCCTTTGGACGACGCCTTACGTCCGCCGCCAAAAAATTTGGTGAATACGCTTCGCTTGCGTTCAGTGTTTGGACTCTTTCGCGGCGAACTCGACGTCGATTTGCTTCGAGTTCGCGTCGGGAAGAAGATATCGGTCCACGAGCTCTTCCGTTTCGGATCACCGCTCGGACTCTTTGAGCCATTCATATCGGGAACTGTTAGTAGTAGTGAGTTATGCGATCCCTCCTGTCGTTTGCCCTCATTCTTCAGCGACGAGAGCGACGCCGAGTTACTGACCGCCGGCACCGGAGTCGCCGAATCGCTCCCACCTTTCAATACAACAACATTTAAATTTTAAAATGTGAAACAAGTCTTCAAATCTTAAGCTCAATAACTAATCATATAATTAATGAGTAAAAATAGCGGACAAACAAAACGTATATAAATATCAATCAAATCAATAACACAGAAGTGAAGAAACAGACCTAAAGTGAGTGTATTCTGCGAGCAATTACTGGATTTCCTTTCGCCGCAATCGCCGGTCGGTGTGACCGTAAGGGTCGGACTGAGCGCCGGTCCCGCACTCTCTCCCGAAGTGGACTTATGGAGCAACAGTTGACTGCTGTCTAAATCGAGTACATTCTTCACACCCGGCGGTAAACACCTGTCGGACAACGAGTCCGGGTCGTCGTCGTCGGGACTTTGCTGGTCATCACTCGGCAGGTCTTCAAAGGAGGCCAACGGCGCCGCTCCGAACCGTTGCTGACGCGACGGATACGAGCCTTTGGGTCGCGATTTGGCCGCTCCTTCGGCTGCGGGAACGCCAGACATACCATTCTTTATCTCAGTATCTCTTGAGCTCATCCTTTTTGGGCGCCAATTGATGACAACTTTCAAAATATTATTAATAAATATTAATATTTTGTTTTTTCTCAACGAATCCAAAGGAGTATTGCTTTACAATCGTATGAATAAATTAATCGATCGCTTAATTCATGTAAAATACCATTCATTTAGTTATTAAACAACAATTATTAACACAAATCCCAATTGAGAGTCACATTATTGTTATGATTATTAGTTATAGTTATTATTATTAACTATTATTATAACAAAATACACATCAATTACTGGGAAAGAGAGGCTAATAAACGGTAATCAAAAACAATTGAAATAACAATTAATAAATATTTGTTTGAATATTGTTTCGCGGATTACATAACGAGAAACACATAGAAATTGTTTACAATTTATCAATAATTGGCGAAAACAGTGTGTTTTAAATGCATTTTGGTTTTAATCATTAAAATACATAACAAATAGTGATTTAAGTGAGAGATTCACACGAATTGGTTGCGAAAAAAGTGGACAATTAATTGTAAACAACGAGTGATTTGATTAACAAATGCATCGCTTTATCCGTATATATCAGTAGTGGTTGTGAAGCACTCAATACACAACTCATGTGTTGAGCCATTGGTTTGTGACAAACGAATGCATATATTATTTAATGTTTTCACTCATAATAAACACAATAATTAAATGATTAAATGATTACATGAAATGCAAATCAAATGTTTTCATAATTCAATGCATTATTCAATGCATTATTGGTTCGCGTTTTTCCGCATAACCGACAGTCGACTCAATGAATGAATGAATGAGTGGTTTGTGTTGTGTTTGAGTCTCTCATTCACTCTCTCTTGTAATACAAACACAGTTTTAATCATAACTTAACGTTCGCTTCGATTCCTTCTCTGCACTCCTTTTCTGCTCTCAAATACTTTACAACATATCAATCATTTGTACCCAAAATCAATGCAAAACCTCTCACTCTCTCGCATACTCTCCCTCTCACTCTCTCCCTCTCGGAGACCATAAAAAGCTGGTAATCATATATCGATAGTTTGGCCTCTTTTTACTCTATATATTCTGGTTCTGGATGTGAATGAAAGCCATTAATTGTGCGAAACACACACTACTGTCAAAAGGGACCAAACGCTACGTTATATGATAGATATCTGTTGGCAATATTCTTGTCTCAATTCCTTATTCTTATTCACATACAGAATATTCTGTGATATTCTTTATACAGAATTTGTGTGTCATATACGCTATGTTTGCGAGAATTTTCATTTCGCTCTCGCCTCTGATTGTGGCAATTCATGCCATTTCTAATATATAATTCATTTTATTTATACAATTAATATTCTCCATAGACTTCATTTACAGCGATATTTTGTCAAATGATTTTGTGCGCTATTTTTCACTGTATTTAACTTTAATGATAGATAACTAACTATTTTGCAGGAATGAGATTAAATTCGTTGAAATAAATATTTTATTTATGAAAACTTCCAAAAACCATATCATTATAAAAACCAGTAGTTTTAATGTTATTTTCCACAAGAATTTGATTGAAGTGTTTGTTATTATTAACTCTATTTTTGTAGTGAATTATATTCTGTGTATACATTTGTACTCAATGTTTAAATAAACAATATTTTAACACTCATTTCCCTATAGGGTTAACATTATTCTGTGTGTAGACAGTACTGAATCATTACTTAATATGATATAAATCATGAAGCTCCTCTCTCTCTCTCTCTCTCTCTCTCTCTCTCTCGCATTCAATATTTATGTAAATTATATACTATTTGAGATTTTGTTCAATAATGTACGAAAAACTATTAAAATTAATACCAAGATTACATATAGCAGTAACATTTAGTATATTAGTATCCTTTTAATAAATATGCTTGGTTATCTTTTAATTCAAGTCAATAATACACTATTGGATGATATAATTTATTAGAGTCTTAAAGAATGTGCTAAATTAGACTTTCACTACACTATAACGAGACTTCATTATATGTGTAATGAGTGTCTGTACTGTATATATCATGTGGATGTCTATGGCCTCTCTCTCTCTCTCTTTCTCTCTCTCTCTCGGAGTGAGAGAGACCTGGTATGCCTGACCACCACTCCAGACACCATTGCGTGACTTATATTTTATTATTTTTTCTCATTCGAGAGAGAGAGAGAGAGAGAGAGAGAGAGAGAGAGCAATGAATTCACCACTTATTTAGGAGATGAGAGAGAAAAACATTTTTACCTCAAAATTGCAATGAAAATGAGAAATGTTTGGCGAAAAACACTTTTTAAAACGAAATGTGTTGTGAGAAAAAATAGCCGTAAATTTGCGGCCAATCACTGGACTCTTATCTTATATATAAAGTGTACACACCATAGATGTATGGATAGTATCGGGCGGTATTGACTGATCCCCGGCACACAATCTACCGGTGCTTCTCGTCTATTATAACGTACAGACCATCACATTATTAGTGCCGATAAATAGTGGCATAAGTGCTGATGAGAAACAGCACTGCTATTCAATCATCTATTGGCCCCAAATCTTCAACAAATTATTTTTTTTGTATATTTGGAGAGAGAGAGAGAGAGAGAGAGAGAGAGAGAGCTCTTAATGTTTTATTGAATATACACTTTATATTAATATTGATTATTGTTATTACAATTTGAAAGTTCTCTCTCTCTCTCTCTCTCTCTCTCTCTCTCTCTCATATATGAAACAAAAATACAAAATTTCAAGCCCCTGGGCTACAATTGCTAAGTTAACTCTCGATATACTTTTTATTATATTTGCTAAATGTATTTTTTTATAGTAAACCCCGATATTAAGCACTAGAAACACAATTTTGCATCAAATTATTATATTAATGAAAGTTATTTATTACATTAATTTAATAAAATGGCTAGATTTTATAGAATATTGGATTAATGTTTTCTCCTGGTACTTTTCAATGGGGTTAAATATAATAGTTATAAAATAATGTGCCATTTATAGCGAGAATATACTGTAGAATAAAAATATTTAATATAATAACAAGAAATAAAAATTATATTTTAAAGTATAAATAGGAGTGAAATGAAATTTTTGTGCAATTGTTTTATAGTTAACTTTTATATGACTTGAATTTAAAAAATACTCTCTCCTAATCTCTCTCTCTCTCTCTCTCTCTCTCTCTCTCTCGTAGAGTAAATACGAGAAAATGTAATTAACGAAAGAAATCATGAAAAATGTAATAATAATATAATAAACTGTTAGTTAAGACTTGAATTTTGAAAATAAAAACTTTTATTCTTATACCTTATTTTTAAAAGGCTTTTAAAATCCTTATCTCTATTACCCCTTAACTTAACTAAAGTCTCCAATAGTTAGAGAGAGAGAGAGAGAGAGAGAGAGAGAGAGAGCAATAAATATTGTATTTTTATTATACATTTTATGATACGTTTAAAACTTGTATAAAACTTTTTATATAAATGTTTTTCTCGCTTTATATTTGCCATTACTTTATAACAACGATATATAGTTTTGATCGATATTTAATAGTATAGTAAACTATATATGAAATAAATTCATTGATTAGTAGATAACGTGTATTTTACTGTACATATAATGTATAGTAGTTTTTTAAATAGTTAAATCTGAGATTAGATTTATATAATATTTATTTATATAATTTATAATACATTATATAAATCATTTGCTGCCAGGAGTTTGTGTTAATTTTAACGGCAAATCTCTTTCTTATATCAAAACAGCAAAAAAAATATATTATATTTTTATATATTATATAATATTATATATCAAACGATTTCCAACGAGATATAAGTTTATATAAAATAATATATAACTTGACTATTAATCTGGTGTTCATTATATGGCGACCCAAATATACAGATCTATGTGAAAATATAGTAATACACTGTTCACTAAACAGATTACTATAAAATAAAATTACATTTTTAAAATGAAAATAAACACAAAAATAACTTTTGATTTATTTGGGAGTAATAATAATAAGACTGCGTTTTTGTGACCACTTTTTAAATATTATATTTAATAACATTACATATAATGGGTATTGAAAAACAACAATAATGGGGGTAAAAGTTATTAAATGTACTATGGTAAAAGGGTTGACAGCAGTAACCATATTAAATAAGCTAGGGAAATAACAATAAAAAACATCTAGACTACAGATCATTAAGCTAAATGTTCAATGAGTACAGACATACAAAAAACATGTCGATAATTATCATTAGCGTAGAAAATAATGTATTTTTAAATTTAAGTTTTGTTTTGTTTTTTGGTTGTGTTATTTTCAGACTATTTTCTCCCATTGAAAAGCATTGAAATCATTATTGTTTTTTGTGCTACTCTTAAAAATTTACTCTATTTTTATTGATTGATAATTTTTTATGATGGTTGTTTTATCATTGCATTTAATGGCTCTATCACATTCAGACCACTCACTCCCCCTCCCCTTTTTAATGAACATTTAAAAATAGCCCCCGTTTTATGGGGGCATTAAAAATCGGGGTCCATTTCTCACAACCATTATTATTATTAATGTTAGTTAAGTAACAAAAACTTTAATTACATTCTGTATTTAATCGAGATTTCGGGCAAACAATTAATCCATTTAAACGAGAGTAGACTGTATGATGAGTGTGAGAGATGTGTGTAAATTATCTGACATTTTTTGCCATTGATTTTAACTATGAACATAAATTACATGAAGATTGTTTTTGTGCCACTGTTTTGCATGAATAGGATATTAAAATTGATTTTCCGATTATATAAAGGGCTATAAATCGCTTGTATTTATATTTTTTTTGTTGGTGTGAATGCCTTTTACGCTCATTATTAATGGCACTTTTTTCTACCCCAATGAGATTACTTTAACTGTACACTTAATCGATAAGTGCTATTGTGCTGTGTAAAATTAAAGTAGTTGTTTTGGCCCCCATATAATGTACACTCGTTATAATGTACC